TAAAAAGAAGGGACTTTTTAATATTTTTAGAACCCAGAATTTTCAAGTAATAAAAATTAAGCATCCTACTGTTGTAGTACGTATGGGACCTCAGTTTCTTGCTCTCAGGCAGTCAAGATTGAAAGCAGGGGAATGGAGATCAAATGGACAAATTCAGGAAAGATTTTATTTAGGGGAAAGCAGACTAAGTGAAAAGAAGACAGCGAAGTTCCCAGATTATGGAAGGAGTCACCTGCAGGAATACACAGAAAGGAGGCTGGAGCACTGTGCTGACCCAGGTTCATTCCCCGGCATCCCATATGATGCTCCCTAATACCACCAGGAGTGATTCCTGAGTGCAGAACTAGGAGTAACCCCTGAGCATCTCCGGGTGTGACCAAAAAAGCCTAAATAAATAAATAAATAAATAAATAAAGCCTACTTTTGAAAAAAATATTTATATACAGAAAGGCAGAAACCTTTCCCCCTTTTAAATCTTTTTAAGAAAGTTACCTAGGGAGTATTTATTGATTGAATTTTAAGATGATGGTCCAGTAAACTAGTGAGGATGCTGTGATCTTCACCTTCTGGTATCTGGTCATGTAGATTACCCCGTAATCTAAATTATTGGGCAGAACCTATGTCATCCGGGTTATTTGGCATCATCTAGGTCTTCCCTTGTGACATTCCAATAATTCCATTTTTAGGACTATATTCCTAAGCTTATCCTACCTACTCCCTTTGTGTCCCTATTATTTTGACAAGTGTAAACTGTAACAAAGTTATACAGAGATCAGCAATGGCTCCTCATATATTTTTATTATCACCATATTTTGAACAATGGCATATAGTTATTATTTTATTTGGGGGTTGGGGGGCCACACCTGGCAGTGCTCAGGGCCTATTCCTGGCTCAGTTTTCAAGGATCACTCCTAGAAAGCTCAGTTAGGGATCAAATCTCGGTCAGTCATGTGCAAGGCTAACACCCTATGCACTATACTATCACTCCAGTCCCAATTTAAACTTTTTTAGTACACTGAGCATGTCACAATATGGTTTATAATAATTGTTCTTAACCTCAGCTATACAGAACTCATTATGAATGAATTTTAAAAGTTCATTCAATTGTCTTAAAAGACATGAGCCATTGTGAACTATTGTGTCATTTGAAAAGAATCGGGAATAACAAGGATTTTATACACTTATAATTGTATGTGAATTTACTTAGGTATGAGAAACTTCCTAGAGTTTCAAGAAGAAACACAAGTGTTGGGCCTTTGCAAGTAATCAGTGCCTCCTTGACCAAGATTAGTGTGCTTCATAGTGTTCACTCCTCATTCACTGCTGCCTTTCCTATGCTATCATCTCTGAGAAACTAATGAATAACTTTCTACTTAGCTATTCAGGCTCTGAACAAATTGAGAAATAAGCAAAAGAGATGAGGGGAAGCCCAATTGTCCCTCTGGTTAGAAACCAAAATAGTTAGAGGCAGGAGTTTAGCGTGGGTAGGTGATTCAAAGCCCCAGCCCTGCAGTGGGAGAGACTATGGCAGCCCTGGACTGGAATAGACATACTTTATGAAAAATAGAGTTCAATTAGACTCTACACTCCAGAGAAGAACCTCAGATCCCTGCCAGAAACCAGGTTGCAAAAGAAGCGGAAGAGATGAGTTAGTTTATTCTTTCTATATATCTTAATCAGAAAAAAATCATTCCATTCCCTTGAATCCCAGAGCCAAGGAGTAGGCTAGATAAACTCCTGTCACTTCAAACAGAATTAGAATCAACCCATCAATGTAACTATAAGACCGACTCCTGCACTGCTGCTCTCCTGATGGGGTGGGATATGGCGTTTTAATTTTAAGAATCTTGGCTTTATGTGCCAGTGGTGGAAATGGGGGAAACTTGGAGTCTGAGCCCCACTTTGGGACTAGATTTGCAAAGTGGTAGTCATCAGGAAGAATTTGTCAGTTGTAATCCTATGGTCTCAGAAACTCATGAACACTAGTCAGAATGTATATATACACTGATAAATCGAACAAACCAACAGAATTACCAGCAAGAGTCTCTTTCCAGCCAACATGCCACAAATGATGGCATCGTGAGCAACTGAAAGCCCAAATACAGTGAAAAGTTATGGGGGAAAAAATAACCAGTGTTTATTCAGTACCTTGTGGCTGATCACTTGTTTTTCTTCTTACGTGTCATCTCAGTGGATGGTTTCACCCAGATGCCAAAATCAGGATCCTGTCTGTTATCTTTGATATATCTTTTCTCCCCTCACCCTTCTCATCTGTGTCAATTCTGAGACTTAAGATCTCTCAATCTCAAATCTGTTATTCTCTCCTGGTCCTTTAGTCACAAATCAAGTGCAAGTTATCTCCAGATTTCTTCAGCACCCTTCAAGAGACTGACCTGTCTCAGGTTCCAACATTTTATATATGATAAAATCGAAGCAAAGGGACTCTGAGAAAAGTAGTAGACTTTCTAATGAGGACAATGAGGGTCAGAAATTGGATTTCATTTAAGGACTGCCATATTTCAAATCCAAGCTTATCCTCTGGTCAATTCTCAATATCTATACAAATAGCCTTATCTTCCAAGACAAATGCCCCAATTACTGCATTTTACTCAATCATAGAATAAAAGAGGTTTAAATGATGTTGTGGTGATCATTTTAAGCTAAGTCTTTTTGAAATATAAGATAGAAGGATCTCATCCTGGTTCAGATAATTGTTTGGACTTCATTTTCAGCTAAGAGTGAAGTCATAATCAGACCTCAGGATTTTTGTTTGTGACTCCTAATTCTGACTCCCAACCCATGAACTAAATCAAAATGAGCTCCAATTTTAAAAATATCTTTTCAGTAACAGAATTTCAAACAATAGTGCCGAGAGAGAAGAACAAAGCGTCTGCCATAGAAGCAGACTTTGGGATGGTGGGGAGAGAAACTTGAAACATAGGTGGTCATAAATGTACGTTAGTGAAGGGATGGGTGTTAGAACATTGTATGAATGAAACCCACTTATGAACAATTTTGTAATGATGTGCCTCATGGTAATTCAATAAAAATAAATTTTAAAAATTTAGGGATTAGCAAAGTTAGGCTGGAGCGATAGCACAGCGGGTAGGGCATTTGCCTTACACGCGGCCAACATGGCCGACCCGAGTTCGATTCCTCCACCCCTCTCGGAGAGCCCGGCAAGCTACCGAGAGTATTCGATATGCCAGACACAGTAACAACAAAGTCTCCAATGGAGGCGTTACTGGGCCCGCTCGAGCAAATCGACGATCAACGGGAGGGCCTTTACCTTTACCTTTACCTTTAGCAAAGTTAGGCATGAGAGTACACTTGGATCATAATGATACAACTGCCCCTTTATGACAAATGGCAACTTTTGCTAGAATTGCAATTTGGAGGCAGGATTCAGAGAAGGTAAGTTCTTGTCTTGCACACAGCTGACCCCATACCACATTGGTCTCCTGAACTCCACCAGTATGATCCCTGAGCACAGAACCAGGAGAAAACCCCGAGCACTGACAAATACAACCATAAAACAACCATCAAAGCAAAACAGAATTGTGATTTTTTCCATTGATGTTGGAAAAGGTACATACTTTTTCCCTTCATACCACCAAACTGTAACTAAATTCCAAGATTCCTAACTTTCAATCCAGAGTTCTAACCAAAGTTCCTGTGCCTTTTCATGCCTGTTTTAAAATGAACATAGACAAGGGGGTTTCAGTGTTTCTCCAGATTTACCTAACTCCTCTCTCTCACAGTGACTTGCGGATGCCTAAGCAGAGGTGAAACCATAGGGTGGGCTGAGGGGGACTTGCATAATAAACTGTGATGATGTACATTCCTTGAAACTAGTAAGATCAAGTCTTCTCTAGGTAGAAAACTTTGGAAAGAGTTCCTAAATATGGACAAAAAAAATGTTCCTGAGTAAGAGAGCTAAAGCAGGCAGTGGAGGACAGAAAAAAAAAATGAGTTTTGCACACTAGAATTCACTTCTCTAATTTCCCTAAGTAAGAATTTTTTCCCCTACAAAGTATGAACATATTATTTTGGGTATATATTTTCCCATGTGCACATAGCCAAAGTATTTATTTTCCGGCAAGTAACCTTGAACAAAAAGTCCTTTTCTCCTGGAAGGCACTTAAGCTGTGCAAACAGTACAGCAAGCCAATAGTTTGCAGCTACTAACCTAGCTCAGTCCTGAGGGCCTGAAAATACTTGTTTTACCTTCCCCAGGACCATTTAAAGAATAATGGAAATGGAGGATATAAGATGTGTTTTTGAGCTCATTTCAAGCCTGTTAGACTTGCTTAGACTTAAAAATTCAAGTGTATGACTTTTCAAAGAGTGAAGGATGGATTGGGCGCTAAGTTCTTGTGGACTGGGATAAGATTGCACATTACCTAGAAATTACCTGAGTTATAGCAAAAATATTGTACATCAGATAGAAGATGGTAAACTTATCCTTCACTACTAGCTTGTCTATTTTTCTAAATTCCGTCAACAATGCTAGGTTAAGCTTGGGCTGGGAAGACCTTGGCCCTCAAACATATTCATCAAACTTTCTAATGCTCTCTCAAACTACAAGAATGCTAATATTGATAATGAAGATGACGAAAATTGTCAAATTATATGTTCAATGCTCCAATTATTTAGCAATATCACTTTATTATAAAAAGAAATATATGTTTTATCATCTAAATCTGCGGTCACTGTAGTCTATTAGAGGAGGGGGAAACAAAATCTGATAATCTGTTCCTATGAAACCCTAAATATGCATCTCATTTAAACCAAGTCTGCAGTTTCAATGATCCCCTCTTATGTTTATTTATTTTTCTAATGACCAGTCCCATTCAGATGAACACATGGGTCATGTAAATGGAGCCTTAGGAGTATCCCTTCTCTGTCTCTTTCCAATACCCATTCTTATTGCTTTTTTCTGGGAAATTCTGGAGGGTCCTACAGCTCTCCTGTAAACTGTATGCTGCTTCTTCTTATAGATCCTCCCACCATCACTGAATCCAAAAGCAATGAAGCTACTACAGGGAGACAAGCTTCACTCAAATGTGAGGCCTCGGCAGTGCCTGCACCTGACTTTGAGTGGTACCGTGACGACACCAGGTAAGTGCCAAACTTGCATCCTCCCTCTGTTCTTCTAGGTGGTTCAAATAAGCTGGAAACCCCAATGAGAAGAGAAATTCCAGATATGATTCTAACGCACTATTTGACCACATTATTTGACTCTTTTCCAAATCTTGTTATCAAAGGCCTTGGTGCTGGCAGTCTTAAGATGATTGCTCCATAGCAATTCCATATAAGAGTGAGGTTGGTGGTTCAATGGGCAGGGTGCAACTATCTGTCTTTCTTACCTATAGCAGAAATCAAATCAGATGGAACTCAACCTCTTTCCAAGTATTGTCATTCACGGTCACGGTCCTCCCGTTGTTCATCGATTTGCTCGAGCGGGCCCAGTAACATCTCCATCATGAGACTTGTTACTGTGTTTGGCATATCGAATACATCACGGGTAGCTTGCCAGGCTCTGCCGTGCGGGCGAGATACTCTTGGTAGCTTGCCGGCCTTTCCGAGAGGGGCAGAGGAATCGAACTCGGGTCAGCCATGTTGGTCGCTTGTAAGGCAAACGCCCTACCGCTGTGCTATCGCTCCAGGTCCTTCAATGGCCATTAATTCTAATAGTACAGAACTGCATGATTACCATGACAACTCTCTGCTGGATCCCTTCATTTCCTTTTCTTACAACATATTTATGAGAAAGAAAGCATTGCTTCTAATCTCCAAACTGGAGCTGGAGCGATAGCCCAGCAGGTAGGGTGTTTGCCCTGCATGCGGTCAACCAGAGTTCAATTCCCAGCATCCCATATGGTCCCCCAAGCCCTGCCAGGAGTAATTCCTGAGTGCAGAACCAGGAGTAACCCCTGTGCATCACCAGATGTGACCCAAAAAGCAAAAAACAAACTAACAACAACAACAAAAAACTCCAACACTGTTTCTTTTTATTCTTTCTGCTTTTGAATTTACAGGATAAATAGTGCCAATGGCCTTGAGATTAAGAGCACTGAGGGCCAATCCTCCCTGACGGTGACCAATGTCACTGAGGAACACTACGGCAACTATACCTGCGTGGCTGCCAACAAGCTGGGGGTCACCAATGCCAGCCTAGTCCTTTTCAGTAAGTATGCTAGAGAGAGCCCGACATAGGAAGACTAAGTTGATTGAAGTTTCTAGTGAAAAACTTAAAGGTATTATCTTACTTATTTCAGGTACACATATTTTTAAAAAGTAGACTATAGCCACACCAATCACAAGGTTCTCAGTCCCGTACATAAAGAAGGACATAGAAATGAATGAATTTCTCCCTAAATATCCTGATTTAACTTACTGTCTGGTTTTGTTTTCTTCTGAGTGGTTCAGCAGCAAGAATATTCCGAGAACACAAATCTTGTTGGTGATGGTCTCTTTAAGGAGCAGAGGTGATGTAAGATCCTAAATTGATGTCAGTTTAAATATGGCAGCATTGAGAGTGATTGAGGGAAATATGCAATGAGAATGGATAAGGTGCCTAGAGAAGGGAGAGGCTAGAAAAAGAAAGTGTATTTTTAACAACACAAGAAGAAGGATTGGGTGAATGATTAAAATGCAATATAAAATCTAAAGGAGGAAAAATGGTTGCAGAGAGATTCGTACATGACAGCAGGAAGTATTACTTTTCTGTTATATTTTTGGAATTGACACGAAACTTTGGGGGAAGAGCGACCATTTCTTAAGACCAAAGGAGATTTAAAAACTAATATGTGGAGCAGTAGTCTTTGGTTGCTGATATTGGCACCTAAGAGCTTTGTTCTTGAGTCCCGTATTATATCTGGTAGTTGCTCCCAGAAATGCTGTCAGAGAACCAAGGGCCCTTGAGAAAAAGAAGTGTCGAGGGGTAAAATCAGGGGGACAGGATGTTTGATACAATGTTTGACATAAATATGCTTATCATAAGAAAATTTTTAAATGGCATATTCTAGGCCAGAAAGTTCATTTGTACTAAAAGGGAAAGTTTAAAGAACTTATTATTTTTTTTAATAAAAACTCATTGCAAACTTTATTTCTTAACAAGTTCATGTAGAAAAATATCTAGAATTACAGTGGCCACAAGAGGTATCCTTATCTTGCTTTTATTTAGTTTAGATGAGCCTTCAGTAAAATAATATATATTTCTTGGAGAAAAATCAATTTAAGCAAGATTTCTGGAAATGTAGTATTAAAACAATTTTAAACCTGTTCAAGAAACTATTCTGCTTATAAAATCCACTACTACAAGCTACTCTAAATTTAATATCACATTTCTCATTCATAAATCCCAACTCCCTTAGTCTGTAACAGTTTGGTGGGATACAGAGATGCAAATATGTTGTCAACATGAAGCTTAAAATTCACATACCTCTACTTGTCTTCATAAGTCAAATACCATAGCTCTTTCCTTCAGCTACATAGTAGTATCTTCTGACACTTGAAAAGATACTTACTAATAAACGCCACTTTCTGTTTTATTTTTGACATTGGGAATTTCCTAAATTGGGGTGGGGATGGTAAACCTCAGCTGTAATTTTGAGAATTTTTGAGGCTTGGGGAAATTTAAGGTTATCTGGTAATGTAGACAACATATACTGACTAAAAGTTATAATTATAAATGTAAAAGATAAAATAGGGTGATTAGATGAGCAGCTATGAATTTGCAGTAAAGTATCTTTTCTTACTATCCCATCCTAAAGTTTGCTGATGATACATTTCATATAATAAACTTGATAATACTTATGGACAGAGAAAAGAAAGGGAAAGTGGAATGAAGAATGGACCATTTGAGAAAAATGAGAGAGACAGAGATAGACAGAGACAGAGAGGGAGAGACAGAAAGAGAGAGCAGGGCTGGGTCAAAGTTAAAGACATTGGTAGCTGGAAAGTTGTGATAAAGAGCCTTTTAAACCCTAAAATGCAATCTCCCTACTAACAAGGTCAGTTTCAAGGACTCCACCCAGTAAAGTTAAGAAAATGCAAGATTTTTTTCTGCTTTTGTTTATAAACAAAATCAAAAAATTAGAAAGGGGGCTAAAGTGATAGTATAGTTGGTAGGGTGTTTGCTTTGCACGCAGCTGACCCAGGTTCGATTCCCAGCATCCCATATGGTCCCATGTGTACCGCCAGGAGTAATTCCTGAGTGCAGAGCCAGGAATAACCCCTGTGTATCATCGGGTGTCACCCCAAAATCAAAATAAAAAAAAAGAAATTAGAAAAGTATATCAGTAGCATATTGTCCTTGATAATTTCACAGAAATCACCCCCAGTTACAGTGCAGTGATTAATGCTGTCCATCTTCCCAGTGGCTGCAATGTTACTCTGCAAAACAGCACTGTCCACATGGGCACCAGCATGCAGAGAAAGCATATGCACTGGTGGCTACCTTAAAGGAAATGGCTGAGGGTTTTGAGGTGAACAGAAACTATCCAAATGTCTGGCAGTGACATTCAGTGCTTTATTTCTTAGACTCAAGGCCAATGCATGCATGAATATTTGAAGAGAAATGCTCTGCGTTTCAAGTAGCATAAAGTGTCATGTCCACCAGGCCCACCCCATCACAATTGTTTATCTGGGTTTGCATAACAGTCTTCATAGCTGATTGTGAGGTGCTATGGGAGCATATTTCATAGAGATGAGAGAAGAAAGAAGAAGGTGTAGGTAGAATGGAAGAGAGGGAGAAAATAAGGAAGGAGGGAAAGGAAAGGGAAATCATAATTAAGAAAATACACTTATGAGCAGAGTGTTCATCACTTAGATTCAAAATAGATGTGTTGACTGGGAAGAATGAAGACATGGTTGGCAGCAGTGTTTCTTTTTCACAAACCAGGGTCAGGAGTGGAGGGAGAGATGTTTAGGAGGGCTGGTAACATTCAGCACTTTGACAGGGAGCACTGTGTGGGCAGCGGGGTGCTCTGCTGACCCAGCCAGTCCAGGGTAGAAGAGGCAGCTGGTAAACTTCTGCCAGCCAGAGGCAGCAGCAGGTAGAAACCCAAAGCCAAACTCTGAAGAGTCCCCAGTTATCCATCTTCTTCAGTGCATCAGCATATTTTCAGTGTCAGCCACAGGGACAGGTGCTGACTTTTTACAGTGTCAAACAGGGGTCATTAATACATTCTATATTCCCCATGTCTAAGCATATATATATTTCTCTAGTCCCTTTTCAAATATTGATCTCCAAAGGGGAAAATAATTGAATGAAAGTGCATGAATACTTTGTATTCATAATTTTTTTGTCTAAGTAAGCAGAAGCATTCCTATACCATTTATCTTGTTCTCCAGGCAATAAGAGAATAAGGTATTGTTTGTCAAGGATTCATACTACCCCAAACAATGAATCAGGAGTCACTCCTGAGCAAGGTGTGGCTCCAAATCTTAAACTAAAAAACAAAAATTTATTGAAAAAATTATCCCCTTAGATTTTGTGAGATGGGGAAATACACCTCATCTAGATGTAGTTTCAAACTTCCATCTGTCAGCAAATGTAACATAACATATTTCATATTTCCACATCAATGATAGCAATACTCCCACAAAGAAAACCTATTTTGTTTCTGTGCTTATGTTGAGTGTCTGGGGAGTAAGTATAAGGGTGATGCTATCTATGTCATCTTGTCTTAGTACTTACAAGGTATCGAGTTAAATAGTTCATATAATTCAGTATCAAATCAACCCTGTAAGGTACACATAGTCCTCATTCTAGAAAAAGATTCACTAGTATAACCATGTAAGGTTAATAAACTAATGTTTGTGTAATCTGAATCTCAATTGCAAACACTGTACCAGGACAAATCTAGATTTGTATATGTGGGGGAAATGATAAGTAGATCTGATGTCATTTGAGGTTGAGGTAAAGAGACTAATTTCATCCTCCTTTTTCCATTTGGTGAAGTCTTTGCACTGAGTTTACTTAAATCCTCTCCTCCACCCCACTGCCTGCACGAGTACCCACCTGTCACCTCCTAATTCCACTTCCATTAACCTTTACCAGCCTGATGGCATTGGATAGTGAACACTCTTAAATTTGGCACAGTGAGAGTTTGAACTATCATCAGTAAGACTTACTGATCAGTTACCTTCTGCTTTTTAGATATGTGTGAATTGGTAAGGTTTTTTTTTTCTCGCTTTTTTTGGGTCACATCTAGCAATGCTCAGGGGTTACTCCTGGCTTTGCACTCATCAATCACTGCTGGCAGTGCACAGGGGACCATATGGGATGCTGGGAATCGAACCCAGATGGGCTGCGTGCAAGGCAAACCCCCTACCCGCTGTGCTATTGCTCCAGCCCCTGAATTGGTAAGGTTTTTGAGTTGAGTACAAAGTAACAAAAACAGACACACACTAAAATCTAATAATCTACATGAAGCCATACCATACCCAACTCAAGGAGACTTTTAATTTTTCTTTTTATTTATAAAGTATAATTAACATAAAGCCTGTCAACTAAATGTCCAGGTCGCTGGAAGCAATTCATGGTTGTAATGTGTCCTCAGTAGGACTCTGTGCTTTGGAGACTAAGTTACCTTTACCTTGGGGTCTCTTTGATTCAATGCACCACTTGATGATGTTACTTAAGGCCTGCAAAGTCTCCTAAACAGCTGCTTCTGATCACCATTTAATACAAAAGGTTGAGCAGCTATTTGAACACTACTTACCTGTATTTTGAAAGACCAGTTACAAACCCTTTAAAAGGGCACTATGTGCCTATCGTCAAAACAGGAGATCCTGGCACTACTTTTAGTTTCAAGAATAGGCAACAAATATGGTGATTTTTGCCTGATGATTGATGATGATTGCCAAATATGGTGATTCCAGAAAGACCCATTGAACATTTGCAATACCTTCTGGAAAAGAAATAAAAATCAGATCTGAATTAATAAATTACATGTGTATATACGTATATACACACAAACATATTTTACATACACTACAGTCAACGTCAGCTTTTCGCATTTAGGAGCTTTTAATCCCGACAGTTTTTCTTACAAACTGATTATGTCCTTTTTACTTGCAGTTGTGGTATTCCAGTCGATCAGTCAATAAAATTTCCTTATCTCATTTAAAAGAAATGGAACCGAAACTCAGATTTAAGGAATTTACTAATAGCCACAGATATAGGGTCGACTTTAGTGTCCTAAAACCTCCTAATCAATCGCTACCTATGTTGATTTCCCCAGGAATTAACAGGCAAATGGCAAGCACCATAGTCCAGGCCTTCCCTACTTCTGCATGTGAAAAGTTGTAGAATTATATTTTTATTTTAAGTGGTATACACATTTCATTTTTATGGGAATCCACAAATACTGGCAAAACTATAAAATATAGCAAAATCATTGTGGAAGAAATAGGATTAAACTCTGGGACGAGGAGCTTCTAAAAACTGATAAACCAGTGGGCTGGAATTAAGAGAATGAGAATAACTAATGGGGCGTGATAGGGCTAAGATGATGATAATAGGGTGGAGCTAAGACTTTAATAACAAGCTGGGAAACAGTTGAAAAGACGAAGAATAGAGGGTGGGTGGGAGGTTTAGCAATATAAATGTTCTTGTGGAAACGAGGGCAGAGTGCATTTACCCAGCTGTGAACAGTATGATGAGAAAATATTAAGCTGAGTCATTTAAAGTCTGAATAATAATAGTAATAATAAAAGCAAAATACGGTACATAGAATATAGTATAGGACAGTGGTCTCCAACTGCTACATAAATGCAAAATGCAGTTTAGCTATTTATTTTCAAGGTTGGAAACTTAATACCAAATAACCAGTGGAGGTTTAAGCCGTTATTCTACTTGACACTTGTGTAACTAAGATACAATTGTTTACTGGGTTATTATTGACTTATTCCATCTTAGGAAATTTTGGCATTTAATCTATATCTTTGCACCAAGCAAGAGGAAATTTTACTTAACAAAATGTATTAAGTGTGCAAATTCTAAGCAAATCTTCACTTTAAGGTACATGATAGATCAAACTTTAATTTGCTTTTCTCTTTACTCTTTGGTTTTTAAAATCCTTATAGTTGTATTTATAGCCATGAAACTAGAAAGAATATAGAAACATGTTTGCTAACTACATTACATTATAGAGTTTGGGGATAGCAAGAAGTGCTACCTTCTCCTTATTGTACCACTCTGTTCTGAAAGAGATACTGACCTGAGAGGGTTAGATTTGGGAGGTGAGTGGGGAAGAAGAACAAGCAGGCTGCAGAGAAGTAACACGAGAATTTAAGTGGAGGGTCTTGAACACATGGATGGTGCTAAGGAAGGATTCAAATGTACCCAAACCATAATTATCAATTGAAAAATAATGAAGTCAGGAGTTGATGGGTAGGAACACTGGGCCCGAGTGGACAGAAGCATCAGAGGAATGTCATGGGTGGTGGAGGTTGGAATTATCTTTGTACATGAATACCAGAAACTTGGACACTAGCAAAAACTCTAATTTTATGCATGGCATAATTAAAAATAAGAATTCAGAGGAGTTCCTAGAGTTAATTCTAGAGTTTGAGGTAATAAGTAGAAAGTACAGTAAAGCCTGAATTTTTTGGAAATAGGTTGAATGTATGGGCAGCAGCTTGGGGGTGGAACTGGATGATGCATAAACTCAGTTCCCAGTGTCCAAAAACAAAGCACTTATCACACATGATTGGTCAAATTTCAGGTGAGATTGCTTTATAGCAAGAGAATGGTGTTAAGAAAGAGACTAGAAAGAGACTAAAATAAAATTATATCATGCCAAGAAACTTATTGATTGATTTGGAATTCTTCTTACACTGGTATCAGCAATATGGAAGTAAACCTCTAAGAAAAAAATTTGAATTAATATTTTCCAAAGAAAATTTTCTAGATGCCTGTTTAAGAGATCTAGGGTTGCAGGAGAAGAAATTATCGTTTATCATGACTTAAGGAGACCAGAACCAGGACCAAGATGCCTGGTGTAAAATCTATGATATTGGTGGTAATTTATAAGGGTGGGGAACACTTATGGTAAGGGCTATCACAGTAGAATTTTGTTTCTTACACTAGCTCATTTGTTAAGCCTTTTGATTTTTAAATTTCACTAATAGCTCTGATGCTTTTGTGTCAGCAGGAAGAACAAACACTTCATGGGAGAGATAATCCAATGGGCATATAAATACACCTGTGTTATAATTGTCTGTATGCTAAACATGTATAAGATATCTATCTCTTTCTCTCTATATATATGAACTCTCCATGATGTTTACTATTTTTCCCCCTTTAGAGCGTGTTTTACCCACAATCCCCCACCCCATCCAAGGTCAGTATGAAGCTTATCACCGTAGCTCTATTTTGGGTCATTCTCCATCATCTATATGTGCAAAACACACAAAGGGGTAAAACACATTCAAAAAATTCACTTACAATAGAAATCATTCTTTCCTCTTAAACCTTCTAAAGAAAATCAGTCAGGTATCCCTGATTTGTATGCAGCTGATCTAACCTCAAGTAACTGAAGAAGACTCCAAAATTAAGAAAGCAATTTTTCTTTAATTAATATGAATTTTATGTTACTATCAACTCATATAAAAAAGGCATTGCAAGATAAATTCTGTAGTTTATAAAAATATTGGTCCTCTTATCATTTTCACATTCAGAGACAATATTCTGAATCTACAGTTTTTGGTATCAGGGCCAGAGTCCAGAGGGTAAGGCACTTGCATTACATACAGCTACTCAGGTTGGATTCCTGGCACTCTGTGTGATGCTCTGAGCCTATCAAGTATGTCCTGACCTCTGCTGGGGGTGGCCCCCAAACAAACAAAACAAAAGGTTGTTGGTATTATAAAAATGCACTTAACCAGGGGAGAAGGCCGATCATTGAAAGGAATGGAATGCAAGCTTTACTTGTGGGGATACTGGGTTTGATCCCCACACAGGGCCCCTTGAATATTACATAGTCACCCAAACACCCTATAGCACTGCTTGGTACCCTGAACTAAGGATACCCAGAGCATTCTTGGCATAGCTCCAAAGCTAAAAAAGGAAGAGAGGGAAAAAAACTGAAACCAAATTATATTATATTACATTATATTACATTTTATTAAATCTTCTCAAGATTTTTTACCTTTTAAAACATGAAAGTCTTAGAAAAGATAAAGAAACCTGTGCCCACCCTTTTTGTCTCTTCATAAAATTTTCTACACGCTGGAATTAACATGTGTCTTGTGTATCATCACATTTAGATGCAAGATGCAGATCAAACTTCTAACTTAAGGCTATTTAAAGGCAAATTGGCAAATAAAATTAAAACAATACAAAAAACCTAAAATGAAACCAACCTACCATTGAAATTAAATTCCAGAAAAATGATTTGCAAATAACACTCGAAGACCTGAGAAAAAATGGAAAGTAGGCCATGCAGGGCCCAGTGTAAGAAAAAAATAAATCCAATTAAGCAAGATTATCATATACACTATAAAGGAAATGTGTTCAGAATTAAAGGCAAAAAGCTACTGCTTTATAAGTTTTAAGATGTATCGCATTTCATTTTCTCAAATTAAAAATTAGGCCAAAATTGGGTGAAGATATTCAGAGTGTCAATAGCGTAATATTTTGCATATATGTGGATTTATATATATATGCAAACTTATTTTAACTGTGTTTGAAATGAGGATTGTAAGGTTTTAAGAATCATATAGACAGCTTAATAAAACAGTAACTCTGAAGTTTTAAGAAGTGTCTAAACTATTTTTAGAAGAATTCTGTTGAATAAAAAGCCTTCCCTAAAACATTAATGAAATCGGTTTTTTATCCCAGTCCCTAAAAATAAGACTGCTAACATGTGCCTGCTTTTCAGGCTTGACATGAAATTTAGTGTTCATGGAAAATATTCCATTTTGAATTCCTGACATGCCACAATTATTTTAAGACATTTATCTTCCAGTGTCGCTGCAAAGATTGACACCATTTTATCATGTTGATATCTTGCAAATATCTTGGTATGACAAACAAGTGCATACACGTTTGTTCCAGTGAATACCATTTTGAAAGAGGTCATGCTCCATCCAAGATGAGCTTTGTACAGTGTCACTATGACTCTAGGTATCTTTTGTTAAAGCAGTACTGCAGCCTTAAACTCAAATATTTTTATCTGATCATGCTTTATGATATGTGTAACACTGAACAAAGTGAAGGCAGACACTATTCACAAAAGACAGCTGTTGGATATTAAAACCCAGTCTGGACTCAGGATGGAGCATGCGAGATTTTCTGAAATGTGTTATTCTCTCACAAATTGCATTGTTGATTGGAGAATGGCCCTAGTTTAGTTTTATGTTATAGATAGATTGTAGATAGTATTCTTAGATCCACTAGTTTTAGAGACTGTGTTTACCTGACTACTAATACTTGAGACTTCTGCTAGTAGAAATTGGAAAGCTGTTCATAAAGATTTGGGATAGCAGCTGTGTGAGGTTGATATAAATGATAGAGCCCAATTTTGTATAAGGACTTTAACTTCCTAAAAACCAAATCTCTTTCCCCACTTCTTCCTGATGAAGATGGCTTACTGTGAAAAATGCAATGGGAAAATAATACTCATACATGGGATCCGTACGTTTTTATAGTGCTATTTAAGTACCCAAATATCTATAAAAAACATTTCTGCTTAGTGTGATCATAACTCCAACCCATGACACCTTTACGTAATTAAATATCATCCATCGTCATCATCTACATGGAATACCACATTCAAATCAAAATTGTTATGGTGTCTAGAAGCAGTAGGCCGGTGTAAATGGCCCGAATGATTTTGTACCAATTAATTTCCTTAAGGTGTTTTGAAATTCACAAATGTCGTTTTCTTCCTATAATAAAGAACTCTGGGGTTCTGGGGTGATAGCTCAATGGGCTGGTGCACCTGCCTCACACGGTGACATCCTGAATTCCACTCACATGATAGGACCTCTTGAGCACTGCTAGATGTGTCCCTGGGTGGCACTGAGAAACACTCGTTAATGACCAGAGCGCCAAACCTCACAACTGGGCCAAATATCACTGAGAGTGACCTGGGGCTCCCTGACTACTGCTTGGGCGATCTCCTAAAATAAAAGAGAATCTGTCCTCTCATTTTCCAATAATAGAAATACATGTTTCATTTTAGCTGCTTCATTGATAATATCTTCTATTGGGCTGTCTCCCCTCCTACCCTACTCTACATGGCTCATCAAGCTGGCTGGGAATACACAACAGAGACACAGCAGGAATGCGGTTCTAAACCCCTTCAAGCTGTGATTAAACAAAAACAAGGCTCAATAAATCAAAAGTATTTCCCTTGGGTTTCCTTCATCATATTGCTTGATTCTGTGCAGTGATAATAATAATACTGGAATTCTACCAAAGGATAATTTGTATTGTCTGTGACCAATCAGAAATTTTCATATGCCCTTTCCTTCACTGCCAAAAATAAAACACAAATAAATAACAACAACAACAGTAACAACAAATCAATGGGTTTTTCCTTAATTTTAAAAGCTAAATGTAAAAAGATAAAGCAAATAGCATCCCATTCTTGATCTGTTTCTGATAGGTGTTTTTTCCCCATTAATTTTAATTTGGGTTTATTTATTCTGAAATGAGTCCTGAATTGCATATATTTGCATAACTACCCCTGACTCTCTCCCTGCAGAAAATCCACTGAATTGTAAAATGAGGAAAGAGGCAGCGCTAAATGTCTGAGGGAACTTTTTGCATTCTTAGACTCAAATCAATCCCCGAGGCCTCTAAATCCTTGGAAATAACAATATTGCGCTTTTTTCCTTTCCAAAAGCTTATGTTAGCGCATATGCATAGTCCTCCGTGATTAAGGACTCGGAGATACACCCCCACTAGGTAGAAGGATGAAGTTCAGAAAGAGAGGCTAAAAAAGACTCAGAAAGTTAATATGGAGGGAAAGAAGAGCAAAGGACAAGGTCGAACCACTCTTGCCTTCAAGAAAAGAATCCTCTTGAGCTTAGGGCTCACCGGAGTCCACCAATCCATTTTTTATCACCATCACTTTTTTTAAAATATAAAAGAAAACGAACTCTGGAATTTGTCTCCCTTGTTTACCTCCCATCTGATTATTTATCCCATGTGAACAGCTTTTCCATTCACTAACCCCGTGTGGCGAGTAGGTTGGGGAACTGTTGAGATTATCTTCCAGGTTCAGGCATTGCCTGGGTTTGTTCACAGCTGCTTGCCATTCAGTTCCTGTTTTTCCATTGATAAAACACATTGCACATGGCTGGGTTTGCATGATTAATACAGCTGTCTAAAGCTCTCTCTGAAAACAAAACAAAACCCACCGAAATTAAATTTTTAAAAAATTAGAATCCAACCCACAAACAAACTGGGCTTGCAGAAAACTGCAGTCAGCCTGGCAGGCTTCCTCCCAAAGAGGGACAGACTGTTTGGGCAGATCTGACACCGGAATAGCCAGGCTGGCTCTAGAGGAGGAGAAGGAGAAGAGTACCAGCACCCCGGAATGGGGTCTTAGAATAATTTCCCTGGAAAGGGGAGGAAACTTGGGAGAGAAATTCCTAAAACTATCACATGGTATAAAGATGACTAGAGAAATCCTACAGCTCAATTTGTTTTCTGTGGGATATTAGCCTGGGTATCAATGAGGAAATGCCTCTTTGCTGCTTCATAATATTTTGTACTATATGTATGTTTCTTCTTGTCTAACAATACTGATACTAATGGTAATTATAATAGCTTATTTAGGTAGTGGGTTTCCTACACACCCTTAGAGTTCTAAGATTTTCACATGCACAATTTCAACTAATCCTCATAACCTTAAGAAACCAATATGCACCTTCTAGCCTGCTTTTCCCCTCTTGAAAGTATCCTCAAATTTCAGTCGGTAGTAGGTACCAGGCACATACGTAAAGCAATAGTTCATTATAAATGACCATAATGTGTGCATTTTTATTCATTAAATAGCATCTATCTAATGAATTTTAAATGTTTGTCTAATTTATTTTATGTTTAATAATCCTTACAATACATAATAGTTACCTTAATGTCCATGTACTTTTATAAAGTCCTTTTCCAAATATATTCAACACTCAGAAAAGTGTGCCTAACTCATACAGATTTATATGAAAATGTGCATCTTTAAAAAACATGAGCTGAGCTATTTGGCATCAGCACATCTAATTTCACACACTTATTCAGTCTGATTTACATACACACCTCTATTAATCATGGATAATTACTAGCATTGTTCTCTTTAATTCAGTTTTTCCAACTGTGAAATGGGAAAGAAATTATATT